CACTTTGGGTGGCACTGGTGGTGCAGCTGTCACTTTGGGTGGCACTGGTGGTGCAGCTGTCACTTTGGGTGGCATCGGAGGTGTGGGTGCTTCTTTTGGTGGCGCTAATACACTCCGTGAGATGTTTGTTGACATCCACCTAAGACCGTATTGAAGGTTTGGAGTTAAGAGAGCCGCTACTTTACCTCTCATTTCCTTGTTAACTAGTTGAACTATGTGATATGATGACTTCCGCATTCCTGCAGCTTAAGCCTTAGATTGTTATGAAGCATTAAAATCAAGTGCCTATAACGAAAATAAGGGAAGGATTAAAAGGGAATGCTTAATATTTCAATTGTTCAATTTATGAACCTGTTTTTTCACCTTCACGTTTGTCGCTATGCAATTTTTTGAATTCGCTATCCATCATGGATACATTATTAAACATAAAATTTTTATATTTTAATATATATACGCAAATTAGCGGTAGCCATCTTATGCAAGTTATTTATATAAAAATTACATATTCGTTGTACAAGAATTACTCCTCTTTATGAGTGCATTTATTTAGATCGAGCCTGCTGATATCCCACCTTAGGAGGGAAAAGGGAAAATATGATTGACGAGGCAACGAAATAGGATTATTACGCAAAAATGTGAAATCGATGGATGCAACAGCGCATATGACGTATCATAGAGATGCACATACTGGGAAAGAACGCTATTCATGGTTTATTTTTTGAATAGCTCTTCCGGTAATGCATTACTGCAACGATTCGAAAAAAAAACTTATATGTAAGAGTAAGATGATTAATAATATTTTAGCTAATAAATTATAAACTAGAGAGGTATAATTGTTCCACACAGGCTCCACTAAAGGAGACACAATTTTTTCATCTCATTTACGATTTTAAATAACCACAAAACGCATTTTTCAATTTTCCTCTCTCGTATTTTGAGTTAGATTAAAGTCGAGCAACGTGATATTAGGTTATTACCCCCCGCTTCCTGATCTATTTTGAAGTAGAGTCTTGAGCAGATGCAATGTAATGGTCCATCACACGAAGTGGGAAATCAATCAAAAAACTCGGTCGCTCGTGCCATTCATCTAAGGGACCCAGTAAATAACTTAAATGCCCGCCCACAGGTGTTTCAACATACACGATGTTTGGCTGAGCATCCGCTATCTCTTGCCAGTTTCCCGCTGTCACTCCGTACGCCGAAACAGGATCGTCGCGAGACGCAACAGCAACAATAGGAAGGTTTTTTATCTGCCGGATCCACTTGGGAGCATATGCGTCGTTGTAATAATGAGCCTGATCTTTGTATCCAAAGTGAGGCACTGTGATGAGTTGTTCTACATCGTCAAGACTATTCAAACTTCGAATAAGCTTGTCAATGTTGCTTTCCTTGATAGACATCACTGGCAGAGCCTGTTCAATCAGCTTTCTATGCTTTTTAAATACCCTTTTGAAGGCACTTATGATTGCCTGTTGGTAAAACAGGAGGCCGAACCCGCTGTTCATAGCGGTGGAGGAGGCTTTTAAGTCGTAAGGTGAATTCATGCAAATACAACCGGTTACGGGAAACCGAGAAGGGTAGAGCTGCTCGATAAGTGCCTGTTCCTCTGCTATGCACTTGATTACTGTATTACCTCCGGCACTGTAACCTACCACAAACAAAGGGAGCTCTTTGCCGTAGTCCTTGAAAATACGTTCTTTTGAAAGCCGCTGACGTAGGAGCACCCGAAGATCCTTGGTAAAGTTGATAGAAGCGAACTGAGGCACCTGCAGAGGAGCGGACCCGAGGCCCCGCGACGTCAGAATGCAGCAGTCATAGCCACGAGAAACGGACAATCGGGCAAGACGTTGAATGTAGGGTGTTTGGCTAGTGTTCCCGGCACCAGGCATTACAACTAACAAACCTTGTGGCAACTCAGAGGCTCCTTTTTGGGGCGATGCACTCGGTTCTCGACGGCAGTGCAGCCAGTCAATGCAGATTGGATTGCCGTCTTCACCATCCAGCAGCTCGCGGTGGTAGTGCACACGACGTGGCAAACGCCAACCACCAAGGATCGTACTTATGTGACGATTATACATAGGACCCTCGTACTGCATGTCTTCTTGCAAGCCCAATCGCTGCATGATATTTTTTCTCGCGATGTGATCTCTGGTGGTGGCAATTATCTTAATCAGACGCCTGTGCCGAGAACTGAACGTAAAAGGCCGTCCATTTGTGATGCCGTCCCAGAACGCCAGTGGCAATCGCACTGTTAGCGCAAAAACGCATCTCGGCAATTCATAAAAAAAAATATGCAAAAAAGAGCTAAAAAGAAAGAACTTAATGTGACTAATCATTATTTCCACAAACTTGAAGCAACCAATAGTACGTGAATCTGCTTGACAATAAAAACAATAATAAGGATATATCGATAAAATAAAACAGATTGAATAGGATAAAGGGGAAAGTAGAAAACATGCTAACTAGAGTATTATTTTTTGCATTCTTGACAATAAAGAGTGTAAAGCTCAAAAATGATTATATACAGTATGAAAAAGGATTAGTGAAAAGAGAGTTCTAACATCACGGATTGTATCTTCATGTTTTTCAACATGACAATTGGATTTCAACTTTATGCATTCCTTTTAATGGAAGTATAAAAAAATGTCTGGACCGGAATAGAGAAAAGTCCTCAGCGAATAGAGACCTAACTTGTCTGTATCTTGTCACATACACTTTCCCACAATTAAATGGAGTTAACGTATTCAAACAATTGACCTTAGCAAATGCCAAGAATGAATTCGAAGAAGGATGAAACAAAAAACAATCGATATAAAAAATGCCGAGTTACATCTCTTTGACGCTAAAGTAGATTCAGGATAGAATTTTTGGCGATAATTGTGACAAATATTTTGAATTTAAACTTCAATACCTCTAGAAAATCAATACAACAAGGAGTAGGCAGATAGTGGCACACACAGAAATGAAAGAAACACGATAGGATAATAATTACTACAAAGCTAACATTCTTTGATACCAACAAGAACACAGAAATTTACTACAATCAAGCGTCTAAGATGACATGGGGATAATGCAAACAAGCCAGATGTCATAGATAAAAATTATATTAAACGGGCTTAAGTTGTAAAAGCCTATTAATTTTTTCTTATACAAAAGAATATTCGCAATAAAATAATTATTGAAACTATTTTTCCCTTTTACCGGGGAAATTCAATTGATCTATATTAGCTCGAATAAAAGAAGAATAATCACAGAGGAAGATGTCAGAACGAGAACAGAAACAAAAAAAGAGGAAAGTGAGGAAAAGAATACGACATGTAAACGACTTTTTAATTATTAGTTATGGTAGATATTTTGGATGAACAATGAATGTAGCTCTTCAAAATTACGCCTCGCCCTTTTGGGCTATGGAAGGATAAACAAAAATCACTTTTGAGAACATGAATCTTAAATGCAGATGGGGAACGACAGACCAGATGCTTAAATGCACTGCTCTGCAGCATTTACATCAGGGAGGGCGAGTCATATAATAATCAATACTAATCTAAAAACTTTAGAATAGTTTACGAAGTAAATTGAAGCTAGTAGAACCAAGCTCAAGGTTTATAAAGGCCTAGATTGCTTAAATTTCCCATGCATTTGATACGATAGTAATTTGATGGTAAGCATATGGGATACAATTCTCCGCATGTCAAAGTTACTTCGCAGGCAGAGATCTGCTGTTGACATTGTCACCCGTATAGATCTTTTGCCAACATTGTACAGGGAGGAATATAAACACTTATCAAGCCTCTTCAGAGGTAACTCTCCCCGACCCAGACGTTTGTACGCAAAAGGTTCACAGAACATTACCCTCGCCCAATGCGCAGGACCGGAAAGCAATCTGCTACACCATAGGCATCAGAAAAGCAATTGGTGCTAAATACCAAATTCTTAACCAAAAAAAACTTGGAAGGGCGGCGTAACATAGCAGAACAACCTCAACACTATCTGTGATTCTGGGGTATCGCCCCATTGCATGTAGAACTCTACTCTCGGCGGATAGCATTAAACTTGCCAATGCAAACTCACCCATTTTCTTATAAATCCCAAAAGGAAAATAATGAAGGTTGTGTTATCTAGCGCCTGCCCCTAAGTTTATAATTTACTTATTCGGTCTAGTTTAAAATATGTGGGCATATTTTCTTCCCTAAATACTTGAGTCGTTCTTAAAGATCGAAAAGGAATATTTCTTAAGTCAGGAAGGAGTGAGGGAAAACGTAAGCATCACAATGGGTAAAGTAAAAAAGAAAAGTTTGTCATTGTATATCTCGAACTTTTATTTAAAATGTCATTCCTAATATACAACGCAATGCGCATTATTTAAAAGAGTAATGGAAGTATGAATAAAGAAAGCAGAAGGGAAAGAGGGAAAGACTAAGCTTTGAGGGAAAAATAATCTCATTCAGTACGCGTCTTTTTAGTGAAGACGTCTTCGTTGCGATTCAGATCCTGAACAGCATCTTCCCCAAGCACCGATGCTAGCCTCTTCTTCACATCGTTCCACTGCTTCGTCCTGCGATCCTCCTCAGCCTGTACTTCAGCTTCAACCTTCTTCTCATAGTCCGCGGCACTCAACACTACAACATAACGACCACACGCAGCATCGTCCAGGACTTCCGACACAACGAAGCGCATCGATGCAGTTCGAAGGTCATGTCTTCCCAAGACAACAGACGAAGACGAGGTAGTACTCAGCACCAAAGGTAATGACCACATAGATGATGTGCTACTGGTGCAGGGATAAACAAGATGACATGGAAACGGCCCTCCATGAAAGGCACCCATATCGGTCACCTCGATAGTGTGAACTGGGACACCATCAAACCGCAATCCTACAGCCACCATGGCTTCATCCCCCATTTCAGATGCAACTAAGGTTCTATTTTTGCTTTCCTCCGCAAAGTCCTCATGAACAACCTCTTGTGTGACGTCTGACTCGGCAAAGCCCTCCGTGGAAATGTTGGGCCGTGGCATGGAGGCTGCATATCGAAGATGCATGTCAAGCTTGGAAGCAACAAGTTGTCGGGTGGCATGGCTGTTGGCAATAGAGGTTGTATATAGAATAGCCACCGTCAAGCGTTCACCCACAACCGCAAAGTTCCGCCAATCTCTCATGACTGTGGGCACCTGAGAGACAGCATAAGTGGGGTCAGCATCGGGCGCCGATGCAGGTATGAGGGAAGAGGGGATAAAAACAGGCGGCCATCCTCCAGACCCTGGCCTCGTGGTGGCATTGCAAAGCAGACCTCCAGTGTAAGTAATACTACGACCATGAGGCGCCTCAATGGAAAGTAACGTGCAGTTTAGCCCATTATCATTGATTTGGTTCACCTGCACATAAACCTGAGAGAGTAGGTGCAGTCCACGTGGGTAGCTGCACAAGCGATTCGGTTTCTGAACAAGTGATACACCAGGTAGTTTGCACCTGTTGGATGCAAAATATGTGGCATCGCCTTCTTTATGCTCACCTTGCGATAACGTTCCATCGGCTTTTGCGCGTTGAATTGACTGGAATAGCTTGCTGGCTAGAGCCTTGGCCGCAACTACAGTCAGCTGTGGGGTCTTGTTGAGAGAAGCTGTGGTCGGACGCGCTGTGGTAGGCAGCAGCTGAGCCCGACGAGATCCAAACGATACATTCGAGGACGCCGTAAGCTGCGACTGCAGGCTGGAGTGATCATCAGCCACCCTCTTTAGAACGCCCCTAAGGTTCGATTCTAAAGTCGAAGTTCTTGCCGATGTACTAGCATCCATAGCATCGGCAGCTGACGGCTGAAGTTCGATATAAACTTCTTCTCCAACTGCAACTCGCAGGAAGTTCGAGTGGGTGTTCACCATGATAGCCTGATAAGACTCAGTTGTGACGCCAGCGTCGACCACGCAACGCCCATTCGGCTTCATCTTAACGACAAAACCACGAACGAGGCCATCAACTTGTTCATTATGGATGAGGTGCACTGAACCAGAGGGAGAAATAACATGACGCGTGAGGAGATGCGACACCGCTTGTGCAAGACCTGTTGTCGAGTTCTTAGTGGAAGGCCCAGCGTACATTACGAAGACGCCTTCCTTGGCCAAGCTCAGCTGGCGAGACCTCAGGTAGTGGTCCGCATCATATGCATTGTCAAAATGGAGTATGCCTACGTACGGCCCAATACATGAAGCGTAAACCGTGGTAATGTCCTGCAGCAGGGACTGAGAGTTTCCAGCCGCGCTCTCAACAATCGTAGATGACAACATGGAAGGATTCAAAATCGTAGAACCATCTAGTAAAGCTGTCGATCCCGGTACCTTGAGAAGCTTTTCCTCCAACCATGGAGCCACTCTGCTAGCTTCGGTCGGTGAAGCAGAATGAGCTGGTACTATGGAAGACAAATCTAACAAAGTGTCACCTACTAAAGGATTAGTCGAACTGATAAAAAGGCTACTACAAACGAGCGGTACCGCAGCCGGCTCGAATGCCACTCTCCACCGCTGCTGTGCTTGACAAGCCACTTGCCCCGCATCGGCATGAAAAAGTTCGGCGCAAGACAACTTTTGAAATTGAGCTACAATGTTGCCGATAGAATAACCTTCGCCTGTAGAGTCGGAAGAAAGTAAATGGCCACCTGAAATAGAACCATCGAATGAAACAAATTCAAGAACACCGTATGAGGCAAGTGCCAAAAAGAGCTGCGCTCGCAGCGGGCTGTTGTCAAGTGAGTCATTGATGGCTAATCTGAGGCGCCGACAGATTCTCGAAGACATTAACTGAAAATTGTTAGGGTACTTAAATTAATCGACTTTGAGATCGGCAATCGAACAGATTCAGAGGTTGGAACAAGATAGACAGAAAAAGAAGTTCGAAAGATGATTATAATGTGTGTCTAGGTGATAGAAATTCCTAAGTCGAATTTATAGTCAAATACTCATGTATGGGTGTTATTTTCTGATTTTTTACAGAATCATAAAACATAAATCATCAAAACAGCACAATTCCCTCTT